GACCTGAGAGTGAATGCTTCGCATGTTACCCAAAGGGTACCATACTAAACATCCAGACTGTGGAAAAGAAACTCTCCCACAATCCTTTCTCAGATAGCTTAAGGCTCGTAACGTACGAAAGAAATCATTCATGATTACTGTATCTTAAACTGTTTTGAGATGAGAAGAGAACAGGCCCAGCTAGGAGGGAGACTATCAAATCCTACTGTTGTCATGCCATGGATTCATCCTATGGTTGAGGTTTGAACAGGGAACTCCTAGAAGTTGTCATGTATAGGTTTCAACCTAAAAGTCTATCATCATATCCTTATCCAAGGAAATGAGAGTCATAAGGGATCATGTCAACGATACACCAAAACAGACAAAGCATCAGCTTAACAGTAAAATGCATGCAATGCAAGTGAGGGAGGAAATGTGTGTGGGGCTTCAGCCTCCACAAGCTCGTCTCAACCTCAAGCCAGTCATGAAATAGCAATAATCATACTAAAATATAAACAACATGCTATCAAGCAATAAACAGTAAACTACAATCATACAGATAAAAGAAATGAAATGCCATCAGGCAAACAAACCACATGGGCAAGGGAGCTGGGCTCTACCGAATACCCGCAAGCAAAGCCACACAATAACAATACAAGCAGAGGGAGCAACTCAACCTCTAATGCAATCATGCTCCTAGATTCTACTTATTCTAGATGGACTTAATCTAATGCAACAGACAAATCAAGCAAAACACACAATACAGAAAAGAAAAACAGAAGAAAGCCTCAGCTCCTCCAGCAGCAACTCAGCCTTCAGACTTCATTCACTAATTGCTTTCCAGGTTTCAACCCTACAACATGAGTATCAACTCATCTTCTCCCTTAAGCTTCAGCTTCTTGATCAGCTCCACCTTCAGGCTTCACCTAATCTTCAGGGATCTTCAAGTATCAACTTGATCTTCATGCTCTTCAAGCTTCAGCTGGAATGGCAGTCTTCAAGGATTCATCCTCTTCAATAATCTTCAATGAAGTCTTCATCTTCAAGCTCAGGCTCAACCTCTCTCAAGATAATCAAACCAGAGAAAAATCACTTACTGGATAAGCTGGGGGATATTGAACTGCTTATTTGATCACCAAAGGTGACCTATAAGGGTTCAATATCAAGTGAAGGGTTCCCTCAAAAGTTCTACCTCCTAGGTATAGCACTAATCCCTCCAAAGGAGAGATGTGTATACCCTGGAAGGACTTTGAATCATAGGGAGGAATGGATGTGAAGAATACTATCCATGTTTGAGAAAGAAATTATCTACATCTAAGCTCTTCCTAATCCTAACCCTAAAACAACAAAAGGAAAAGAAGAACAAGCTCCCAAGCTCCTCCATGCCTCTTCCAATCTTCAACCATGCTCCACCATGCTCCACACAGAGATACCAAGCTTCTCAAGCCAGAGGGAAACTCCAAAGCAAAGCAAACTAAACAAACATGCCCTAAAGGCAACACATACAACCATACAATACAAAAATCAACTAAAAATAGTATATTATTCTATTAAATCCTAATATAAATGCTAGGGGACCCTACATAACTACCCTTAAGTCCCATATATTCCCCATAGACTAAATTTCCCTATAAAACCTAAATCTAAAATTGTTATTGACCTATGTTAAAGTTTTAATCAAATTCTATACTAACTAGAATTACCTAATTAAAACTACCCTAAAAATTATCACAAAAATATGGCATTAATTTAGGGGTAACCTAAAACATACATCTAACTACCCTAAAAAGATTGAATTAAAAATCCTAAGGGAACTACCCTAATTAAACTCTTCAAAATCATGCATCAACTAAAAGAATTAAAAAAGAAATTAAAAGTAAAAATATGCAAAAAATATAAAAATGAAATAAAATGGCTATTTTATGGTTTTATATTTTTCTTGACAGAAAATGGAAAATGGGAAAAAAAGTCTCATTAAAAAATACTCATTTTTCATTTTATTATGAATTTTTAAAGATTAAAGAAATTTGGAGAAAAAATTAAATGGAAATTATCATGGGGGTGCAAGAAGAAATGCTGCTCAGTTCAATTGGTGATGGGCCCAGATATGGGGGTTGGAATAGCAACGCGCGCCTCAGCCCAATGCAAATCAGAAAAATCAATTAAAAAAACAGAAGAAAATGTTAAAACCGCGGTGTGAATAACATTAAATCATAGTACAAAACGGACTTGGGCCTGCATGGGGGGGGGGGGGGGGGGGGGTGGATAGCAATGTTTATTAAAGCCCAGCCAGCGTTATTAGTGAAACGCGGCGTTTTGCGCCCAGAATTCCCTCCAAGTTTGCGTTCGAATCTCAGCCACCCGATCTGTTTCCAAGTCAACTTTCAACGCGCGCATCTGACGGTAGCGAGGTTATCTTCAACCTCATGCATCTAGGGTTTTCAGAAAAAAGCCATGAAACACATGCCATGCACCAAACTTCCAGTTCATCGTGTGCACTCATTTCAGCCTCAATTTCAACAAAATAAAACCCTATCTTGACCTATTTTTCACGTAGAACACAACCATGGCCTTAGATTTCATTGAAGCAACCTCTATCCTCCTAACCGAATGGTGTAACTCCACGAATTCAAAACTTCGTCAGTTTTTGACCTTCACCAAACTCAGAAATCTTTATATAGAAATGATCCTTATGTTATGCTGATTAAAACTAGCCAAAAATCGTGCATTATCATCCATTAAATCACTCATTCCAACTCCATCAAGAATCAACCTCCATGGAAGAAACCTCTCCAATCAGTCTCAAACTCATCCAAATGAACCACCTAATTGTCTCTAATGGTTTCACACTAACAATTAGCCCTAGCCATGCCTAAATCAGAGTGTGGGAGTGATTTTGCTTACCTTGCTTCTTGCAATGGTAGGTGGTGAAAAGCTTCAATCCAAGCCTTGTAGATCCTCAAGAATGGTCCCTAGGTGATGAACAATCCTCTGCTTGCACAAGATTTGATGGAAATGACTTGTATCTCAAGATCCAATGCCTTTTGCTCCCTTGCAACTTCACTTGGAACTCCTTCAATTCTTCAACAATGGAACCTCAAGCTAGCATGAACATACTCAGGGATGTTTGTAGAGATGATTTGTGTAGAAAAATGGAAGGGTAATGAAGAGAAAAATGAAGTTTCAATACAATTTGCAAAATGGAGAATTTTGATTCAATCTCTATTCTCTACCACCATTAACATCAACAATCACCAACCCTTCACCAATGCAGATTGTAATCAATATATAGAGATGTTTAGAAAGGTCTAGAATCATCTAGATCAATCTAGTAAGAACTTGAAGTTTCATGACATGATACTTTGCATTTCACTTCTCACCACATGATATATCATGACAAAAACCCTTGCAACTTGAGTAATTAACTTGAATTTATCCCCAAGTGGTATTTTGGACAAGTTACCATGCATTTCTTCCTTGTTTATTAAGCTTTTCTTTGTTTTGGTTTGGTACCCCATTATGCAAGCAAGCAAATTACAGAGCAACCCCATGATGCAAGCCTCAAATCAAAATTGTGGCTGAACCATTGTTCTTAAAATGTCTTTTGGAGTCAAAATGACCTATCATATGACATGGTTAGGGTTTATAGCTTGGATTTTATGATTTTCCATTTCACTTGAATTAACTTATGCCTCATTTTTAGGCCATTTTTATCACTTTTTGATATGAGCCTTTTCAACATCTCATAACCACCCTACTAGCCTTAAAACATCATTATAAGCAACTTTGATGTTGAATATTTTTCCATTTGAAGCTTGGAAGTAGGAGATATGGCCTTATGCTTGAAATGACCTATAACTTCCAAATGACCAAAATGCCCTTGGATTGTCAAAGCCATAAGTTGAGTTCTACAAATCCTATAAAGGACTTATAGTACTCTCTAGAAAGCTAAGAAGATTCTCTTCAACATTCATGTTGACCAAGAGACCATAGGAGTCATCCTACTAGGGCAAAAGTTGTCTGCAAGTTGGGTGACTTTCAAGGACCCAGATTCACATACCTCAGATGACCTGTAATTTGTCAAAACCATAACTTGAGCTCTGCAAATCCTATCAAGGACTTCTACCACTCAAATTAAAGATAAGAGCAAGCTCTACAACATTCATGTTATGGGGAAGATGAGATGACAATCACATCTTGAGCTAAAATTGCCTGGAAGATAGGGATCAAACTAGGGGATTTTACACTGTCCATCCTTAGAAACCCTAGCTTAAAACTTCTCAAACTCCTCAATCATGATGAGTTGGTCTAGGAATCATCCTTATAGCATCTCAATACATCATTCCATGATCACATGGCCCTTGTATTAGGTCTCAACCCTCTCCAAATCATTAGTTGACCTAGGGTTGACCCAGTCAAACCCTTAGTTCTATCATTCATGGTTGAATCTTCTGAATTCTTGCCCAATGACCTCTCTGGGCTTCATGATGGCTTTCAAGACATCTTATAAACTTTATCAAAGCTTCAAGTCCATTCTTCAAAGTCTCAGAATCATCTGAGGAGCACCCACAACTCTCAAGTTATGAGACACACAACCTTGGTTTCAACCAATTCCTCTGAGGATCTCTTGAACTTTCTGATAAAGGTATCAACCTTCAAACAGTTGATGGGTAAATAAATGTTGGTCAAATTTTAGGGTGCAACAACTACTGTCAGCCAAAATTGGAAAACACCCTGCATATCATAGATACCACAATGTAGTAACTGCCCAGTGCTAGTGATTTTCCTTATTTCAGTCTTAGAGTTGTTCTACCAGATCCATATTCTTCCATTCGTATGGTCAGCATAGTTATCCATGAACGAACCTTTAAGCTTCATTTTGCACCTAATTTTCTCAGCCTTATCTTGCTTTACTCTAGTCTCAAGCAAGATACAAATTACAGGGTTAAGAGAACGGAGGCGGGAGCTAACCTCTTTAGTCTTAACCATCTTATTCAAGCCCCTCACATTCCAAGACACTATCATTTGTTAGTGTTTTGACCGCTTCCAGGGTCATTCAAAATCCCCAGCAGCCCAAAACCATTGTGGCATTGGATCGTCCCATCCTCATTGGCAACTCCTTGTCCTTTCCCTTTGCTATTGTTAGTGATCATCGTCCATATTTCATCAGACTTTGCGTTGCTAGTGTCCCCTGCTTCTATTGTTCCATCTGTATCAACATTAGTTTGCACCTTTCCTTGTTGTGGCTGCTCTTTTATCTTCACCTTCCATTCTTTGGTAAGCTTAGAAGGCTTGTCACAATTATGACCGACCCAATGACAACGTTGGCAGTAGAGTGGTTTCCACTCATATTCAATAGGCTGTTGCAGTCGTGCACCCTTTTCATCTCTTATCATGATATGTGTCTTTAATTCTTGTGTGATGTCAATTTCCACCAGGATATGAACATATGACACCCTGAGCTTGTTTGCCGTGCATTCATCTGTCACCAGCGGTGTTCCTAACGCACTGCCTATCTTACTAAGGCTCCGCGCGCCCCAAAGATGTAGAGGAAGCTAGGGTAGTTTCACCCATAAAGGGATTGTTCTAAGCATATCCTTGTTCATACTGAAATTAGGTTTCCACTCACGCAGCATCATTGGTCTATTACGGATTGAGTATGGCCCCTTCATCAGAACTAGGTCTTTGTCTTGGAAGGAGTGGAATCTAAGGATGAAGAATCCTTCCTCATTATAGAACATATAAGGCAATTTAACAAAATTCCAGCTCTTGCTCATAAACTGTTTCACCGCATTCATGCTTAGGTCTACACCCAAAACATACATGATGAGGGTTGATTCCTAGAATTTCACTTCCTTTTCAACATCTTCCTCTTCAATTTGGATTTCCACTTCTCCATCAATAATCTTTGGTGCAACGAATTCCATTGTGAGACCCTTCGCCGAATTACGATTTTCGTTGATGACATCAACCCATAACTTCTTCATTTGGCTAGCTTCTACCTCCTTTCTTTCTTCAGTGTATTGGTGACCTAGGGTTTCTGAGTCCGTTACATGCTCTTCTTCCTCCTCTGTCTGGTTACCATTCTCCAATGTGTCAGTTCGCGCTTTATCATTCACAAGAGTTTCCTTCTCCGTTGTATTCTGATCAGAAATGGCCGCCGTAGGACAACTTATTGATGGTGTACACAAAATTTAGATTCTTTAGCACACTATTTATTATCACATGAATGCACACTTCTTATCATGCCTACAAACTACCATATAGTCTTGCATGCCTACAAGATTCTCACATGCCTACACTAATATTCTTGCAAGACTACACTCCAAAAGCTATACTAAAGTCTTACCAACTACACTTACAAGACATTAGAGTCTTAAAGTAGTAAAAAGAAAAACCATTGTCTTGCATGCCTCATGTGATTCTCTGCATGACAAGACTACACTTCCTTATTTTACAAATACAATAATGACTAAATAAATTTTACAAATATCAATTCCTTATTTTACAAATACATGGTGTACACGATTCCTTGCACAAAGTTCATCACATTTCACCATGCATTAATAGTGGAAGTTCTCACATGCCTACTGTAACACCCATTTTTAATTATTTAGCCTTTCTGGTGATATTCTATTTCCGGTGTGTCTTTTGTGGAGATTATTTAATAATTTTGGAGTTTAATATTAATATAATTAATAATTTTGGAGTTTAATATTAATATAATTAATAATGATAATAATTTGATAACTAATAGTAATATTATTATTATTATTATTATTATTCGTATTATTATTATTGGAATAAAAGAAATAAGGATTTAAGAGATATAAGAGGGGTATTTGTGAGTTTGGAGAGGAGGAAAGAAAGAGAACACGATAAAGAAGATGGAAGAGAAAGAACAAGGAGGAAGAACAGAGGAAGAAAAAGAAGGCTAAGGATGTCGGATGCTTGGGAGTTCTTCATCAATCGAAGCAACTAATCGAGGTAAAGGGGGGGGGGGGGGAGAAACGGGTTAAAATTGGTAATTGCATGAATTGGGTAGTTGAGGATTCCTTAACCCCATAGGGATTTGATGATTATAATTAGTATGTTGTTGTGTTTCTGATCATTGATTTTATGGTGAACTCCTTGCATGTGATTGTAAGGTGATGGTTTGGATAGTTTGGGTGAATTGGTGTAGTTTACCATTTTGGGTCAAAAATGATTTAATCGGTAGAGTTGGTGTTTTATCGGGTAAAGTCTGGAATAAGTAGTGTGGTTTAGTCGTAGAGTGCTAGGCTAAAACTACTGAGACTGGTTTGGTGAGAATCAGATGGGTTTTGAGCTCCTGATGAATTTCTGAACAGTAAGGGTTTTGTGAAATCGCAGACGTTCGCCAGCACCTTCGCTGAGCGAGCTAGTAGCGAGCATTCGCTAGGGATTCGCTAGGCGAGTTGGGTAGCGAATACTTCCAGTAGCCACTGTTTGCATTCGCTAGCAGGTTCGCTAGGCGAATGAGGCAGCGAACGTTCGTTGAGGCCTCACTAGGCGAGTGAGCCAGTGAGCATGACAGAATGTGATTTTCGTGCTGTTTTGCCTTGTGATTCGTTTTGTAGGATTCCTTGGGTTGTGATAGGTCGAGAGATGATGTTTAGTGGTGAAGAAAGTGTATACCTGGTGTTGAAAGTTGAAATTATGAATATTGAATTTAATTGATATAATTAATTGGTGGGTAAGATATATATATATATATATATATATATATATATATATATATATATATATATATATATATATATATATATATATATATATATATATATATATATGTATATGTATGTATATGATGCATAGTGAGGTGATCGGGAGGATCGTGTATATTCGGTGTTCGATTGTGATTTCCCTATTATTCATTTTAATTGACATAATTGATTGGTGTGTATTTATATGTATATATGATGTATGGTGATGTGATCAGTAGGATCGTGTGCACTTAGTGTGCTTGATGTTCGTATGCTGTGCATTTGGTGTTGTGCATAGCATGGTGTCTTGGTAGGGTTGAATCATGTCTCAGGAGGAGCATAAGTGATTCAACCGTACTCTCTTATGATGTTTATGATGTGATCCTTTGTGGAGGGTTGATGGCCCAGTGTCCATCAGTGATGATGTGCTCCTTTGTGGAGGGTTGATGGCCCAGTGTCCATCAGTGATGATGTGCTCCTTTGTGGAGGGTTGATGGCCCAGTGTCCATCAGTAATGATGTGCTCCTTTGTGGAGGGTTGATGGCCCAGTGTCTATCAGTGGTGATGTGCTCCTTTGAGGAGGGTTGACGGCCCGGTGTCCATCAGTGATGATGAGTCGGTACCGCATGCATGTGTTGGGTTGCATTCTTGCATTATGATATGTTGTGTTGATGATTGGATAATAGGTCCTGTTTGATGTTGGTGGGGGTGATGATTTGTTTATTTACTGCCTTTTTATTCATGTATTTTATTACCGATAATTTTGATCATGTTTTCTCACCCCTTTGTTGTTTTTGTGGTCTGTGCTTCTTCAGAAGTACAGATAATCCAGGTATATAGCTAGCTTGGATAGTGGTGTGCGAGTCGAGTCGTAGGATGCTCTGATACGTAACACGAGACTTGGGCGTTTATTTGTTTTTATGTTGAGTTGTTTTATTTCCTGTGATGTATCAAGTTTGGTGAACCTTGTTAATGAATACTTTGGGTATTTTGGCGGATGGCCGTGAATGATGGATAATGATAACTTTCGTCTGCTTTAATTTGAAAATCATGTAATGAAGTGTTTTGCTGAATTTTGTGAATGTGATATCCCACTTTTGAAGGGAAACTCTGATATTCATTTGATTTAATTGTATTTTATTTTAATTTGGGAAAGTGGGGTGTTACAATTGGTATCAGAGCAGGTCGGTCCGTCCGGCTAGTGTAGTAGTTGAGTCTGTCCTTAGGATAGAGGTTGTGTGTCTTTTAACCTGGTGTGATTATGGTTGAGGAGTATGGCAGGAAGGAACGATGCTGCTTTGGCTGCCGTTATGCAAGCAATGACGCAGGTGGTTGCTAATCAGAACCAAGCGGAGAGTGCGCAATTTGGGGATTTGGCACAGTTTCGGAGTAACAAGCCGCGAACGTTTGAAGGAGGAGTTTTAGATCTTGAATCTGCGCAGAAGTAGCTGAAGGTGAGTGAGAAAATTTTCAAGACAATGGGTTGTAGTGATGAGCAAAAAGGTGAGGTTTGGTACTCACATGCTAGAAGGAGAAACCGAGGCTTGGTGGGACAACAGTCGCCAGAGACTGCAAGAGTGGGATGGAAATAAGTGGGGGAGAAGGTTGTGCTTCTCCAAGATGCTTCAAGTGTGGAGTGATGGCTCAGTGTGTTGTTAGACGCTATTATAGTTTGACGGGATCATGTTGGAGGGAATAAGTGTGTCTTACGAGCTTAGATGGTGTGTACAGCGAATTGTTTGGAGTTAAGCCAAATGCTTAAGAGTTGTCTTGGTGAGTCGGTGCAGGACAGTGTTGAGATGTTTAATTTTGAGGGGAATTTTGAGTGTTCATGAACGTAGAGAAGTTGGCGGGTTTCTGATTAAGTATGGTTGTCTGAAAGTTATCCTGACAAGACAGTCATATACAGTCCGGACGTGAAGTGGAGTTGTGATCGACTTAGTTGCGGAAAAATAGCCCGATATTGAGAGCTCCGTATTGTATGTCTGTTTGGGTGGTCAAGGAATTAATTTGAGTGAGTAGTTTTGAGACTCGTGTCTGGTGGATGTGCTACGGTAACAGATTGTGAGGTCGAGTATGTAAAGGGTGGATAGTGACTCCTGGTGAATATTAAAGGAAGTAAGAATGTGAGATACGATATTGATATAATTAAACCTTTAAACATTTCAAGAGTTGAAGGTATGTTGAAGGGCCGTTCAAGTGAGAAAATGTTATGGTCGTATTTTTGACGTAACGGGAGAACCGTAACTCGGAATGACGCACGGTTCGAAGTGTTGGAAGTTTTTACAATGCTATAGGTGATGGAGAAGTAGCGACATGGGATTAAGATATTTATTGATGGAATATGTTTGGATGTTGCAGTAAGTACGGAAGGTGCGGTTCGTGTTTTCGCCATAGCTCGCAAATATGAGTGTCCGTTGGCATGGGACTTTCCATACCTAAGTGAGCGAGTCAATGGTTGTATTGATGGATGATATTATGATATGTTCAAAGAGTATAGATTATTATGTTGAGCATCAGGAACTTGAGTTATCGGTGTTGGAGAAGAAACGACGATATGCCTCTGTGAAGAAAGTTCAAAGAGTTCGTGTGTTGGTTTTGCCGTATCCGATGGAACTATTTGTTGTGTTTTGGGATGCTTTGTTGAGATGACTGAGAGATATATTAAGTGT